TTTGTAGAATACCTACTGTTTAGCAGTCAAACACATACAGTGGTTTGTATGTTCACTGCTTTTAAAAATATTGGGGTTTCTTTTCATAGAATGTCATATAGTTGGCTTTAAAGCTTCTGTCCTAGCATGTGGAATTTTGAACATAGGGGCTTGGTCCATGTGTGGAAAATGCTTACTTTGCACTATTAAAGTGAAGAGCTGTAAGAAAAAGGAGGTGTCTTGTGGCTGATATAACAAAATGCCCTAGACCGAGTGGCTTCAATAACACATGAAAATCAAATGGGGAGGTTTAAAATTGTATCTTCAAAGATCTGACTTTTCTGGCTTTAGGCTCTAGCATTGGTGTTTTTTAAGCTCCCAGGCTGTGCTAATGTACAGCTCAGGCTTCTTTGGAGCAATACCAACACAGACTAGAGGTCAACAGCTTTCTCTCAGTGAAGACAGGGTTAATATTGGGGTCAGCCAGGGAGGGCATCCTTTTAACAGATGACAATGGTTGATGAGACTCTGTCGTTAAAACAGTGGTAAAGGTTATTGTGCTGTGTTTGGAACAAGGTTATTGTGAAGAAAACCTGAGAAAGGTCCAAATATCAGAAAAGGCATATAGCAAAAGGTAAAATCAAAGAAATTTAAACAATTAGGGATATGCATCCATAGTGGGATAAAAAGGAATCTGTTTGATTATCACTTATCTTTAATTTAAAATCATATTTATGTATAAGTAAAGTTTTGAGAATAGTTATGTTTTTATAGAGCAAGTGATTTAATGATCATTTTAGTGATTTAAGGCTTAGAGGATTTTTTTTACTCAAGGAAGCATGATACAAAAGAAAAGCTGTTATCAGCATTTGTTGTTGTGTTTTCTAGTTCTGGGCATGTTGGTAGGTTGTTCATCTCTTTGGATCTCATCTTCTTCATCTGTAATATGGGAGAATGCTACTTCAGCAGTTTCTATCACAGCAGAGAAACACTCTCTTTATACTAAAAGGCCTGTGCAAAAAAGAAGCAGATACCTGTTAACAATGCTCACATTTTTTTTTTCACAAGTGGGTGCGTAGAGAATGCCAGTGTTCTCTAAAGGTCCTGGCATTCTGAGATGCATATGGCATCCTGTATTCCTGTTCTATTAATAGATGTGCCCTCTTAGTTACTATTTGACCTAGGGATATTTGTAACTTTTAAATACGTTCCCTTTCCCCTTCTAGTTTTGAAAATGGGCCCAAAATCTATTTAAATTCATTAGCTATGAAGAAGAGACTTCTGGTTATCATGACAAGAGAATTTATTAGGAGTCAAAAGATGTAGGCTAGTGTCTTAATTTTGCTAGGTTCTTGTAGGTGGACCGTGGTCAAATCATCAGCTTCTCTGGTGCTTATGTCTTCAATTTTCAAAGCAATGTGGCTCCATTAGACAAAAAGACACATCTCTTTAATTTCTAAAATCCTGTGATTCTATGTTATGTTAGTTTATAGTTTTATTTCTATAATATACCCATGAGTGTTATAAATTTCTTTTTTGCATAAACATTGAATAAAATCATTGAATATGCATTTGTTTTTATATATATCACATTATATGGTCCTTTTCAACATGCCATATATGTTATCATGAGTTATATTGAGAAAATTATATTAGATTTTATTCTTTCTCAAATTGTATGATATAATTGACCAAAGCATAGTATTTTTCATATTTGAGGCACACTGATAAAAAATCAATATTCTGTTCTGAAATGTTTTCAAGGTTATGGAAGTCTGGTAAAATTTTACTTTACTATATTTAAATAATGAAGAATATAATTCCAACAAATAAGTGTTTATCTTAACGCAGTGAAATGCTGACTAGGCACAATAAAATGTTATTTAATGTTATTGTAATATTTTGATATACATTGAAAACGAATGTATATTTTGATTACTAATCAAGGTTTAAAAATTTTCTTAGGCCAGGTGCAGTAGCTCATGCCTGTAATCCCAGCACTTTGGGAGGCCGAGGCAGGTGGATTGCCTGAGATCAGCAGTTCGAGACTACCCTGGCCAACACGGTGAAACCCCGTCTCTACTAAAAATACAAAAAATTAGCTGGGCGTGGTGGCAGACACCTGTAATCCCAGCTACTCAGGAGGCTGAGGCAGGAGAATTGCTTGAACCCGGGAGACAGAGGTTGCACTGAGCCAAATTGCGTCATTGCACTCCAGCTTGGGCAACAAGAGCAAAACTCTGTCTCAAAAAAAAAAAGATTTCTTTTATTAGAGTTATCTTTTCTTTAAGATGCATTTTTTATTTTAACTGGTTGTAACCAGTTAGACATACCCCTGACAGATGAGTAAGACATAATTTTTGCTTTTAAGAAGTCAAGGAATTGGAGGATAAAGGCGTCAACCCAGATAATTACAATACAAAGCCAAATTTGTCACATCCTTTAAGGACAGTGCAAAAAATAAAATAAAATAAAGAAAAAGAGGAAAAAGTCTATTAGTTTCTAGAGGAATTATCTCTCCTTTCCTCATTTCATCAGGACTTGATAAAGACACTTGTTTACTGGGACATTTAAACCTGAGATGATTGAGGACTAACGAGAGTGATGAAAGTAAACCTTTTTTGGGGCATGTGGCCTTATTCTCCCGCTTTGCTTCTTAGGTTGTTTATATCGGAGCCTGATGTTTTGTCCTATTGAAGTGAAAAATGAAAACAGGCTCAGCCTGGAGCAGGGGACCCAATGGGCTGCTAAGTTTCATTTGTTCTTGGTTCTAAGTCAGGCTCTTTTGCTGCAGGAGGGAGGGTCCTGGTGGATACTTGGGTCCAAATTATTTCAACAGAAAAATGGATTAGTGTTTAAGTCTAAACACTGTTGGGAGACAATTTGCTATGGGCCTTTGTGTTACTGCATGTCTTGATTACAGAGGTATGAGTGTCTTTATTCCAGTATCTCCACAGATTCTTTTCAAAGATATTTGCCTGATGAACAGCCTGGGGAGATAGAGCTAGTCTCTCCCTCAGGAGAAATAAGCAGCTTTGTTTATTGTCCATTAAGACATATATATACACATATATATGTGTATATATACATATACATATGTATATACACATACATATATACATATACATGTATATGTGTGTATATACACACACATATATATGTATATATACACACATGTATATGTATGTGTGTATATATCTATATATATACACACATACATATACATATACACATACGTATGTGTATATATATACGTCTTTCTTTTACCAACTACCAGTTACTTATAGAAGCTCATCTTTTGCCATGATTTATAAAACAACCTTTGCTACCTTCCACTCAATAGGTCAAATTCAACAAACATAATGTTTATCTTCTCCATTTTCCCAGTAAATGGTTTTTAACTGATGTTTTGGGCAGTAAAACCTTGAATGATTGAAACATGGAACAGAAAAAGGACCATCAAACAATGAAATATGTGGCTAGATATAGACAAATAGAAAATAAAGAAATAGGATATTATTGATATATCTGACAGAGAAAAAGGCAGCCATGGGCGAAAATATTCAGAGAAGGCTACCGCAGATGTAGATGTTTTTATTGGCAGAATGATAGAATGACCCCAGCATCAGAGTAAGAGAAATTAGGAGCAGATTTGGGATGTGGCAAGTCATCAGGATGCTTAATTAAATATTCTAGGGAACATGAGTGACAAGTAGTCCCTTGCCACCTCTCCCAGGTGCAAGGAGCGATTATCTACCTTAAGTGTTCATCTCTGCCATTATAGCCTGAGAATGATTATAGAAAGAAATTAAACCAACTGTCTAGAAGAAGAGGGTCATTAATATTCTGGCTGGCACTCCAAGGTAAGATCCTCATTGTCCATTAAGACATATATATACACATACATATATATACATATACATGTACACTCTAGTGGACTGACCATTGTAGCACTCGACATAAATCCTATCCTCACCCACTTCTGTACACAAAGATTTAATTCCACTCTCCCTTTCAGGAGAGAAGTAGTGTAGGAAAACATACCAACACAGTAGCAATACGAATCAGCAGAAATCTTTTTTGTAAGTGAGAAATCAGCCAGGATAGCCAGAGTTTTGAAAAAGCCTAGGATTTTAGAGGTTTAGGCTCAAGATGAACGTAGAGACAATATTATTCAAAGAAAGTAGACATTTCATAGAACGTAAAAATCTGTCTCCTCTTATTGAGTATACTACAAAGAAGTTAGGATGATGAGGTAAAATGGCAGCTTTGAAAAAATACAAAGTGAGAGCAAGATAGAGTTCTGATGTCAGAATTTGATTGCTGAGAAAAAAATAAGAATGACTGAAAGGAAGATTTAGAAAATATTATTTCTTAGAATATTTACCAACAAGTCAAAGATAGAAAATATGAGACTAGAGTATGAATATAGGTCATTTCAAATATAGAAAAATGTTAAGAAAAAGAAAGAAGGAGAATGTTTAAATGAAATAAAATGTGAGCATTAAAATAAGATAAAAGTTTTGGTATTGAAAAGGAAACAAAAACCATAGCAAAATGGAATAAAAATATGGCCACCTAGACATTTCTTTGTAAAATATCAGAATACAAAATAGTAAAATTTGAACGTTGTAAAATTTCACAGCACAAAAAAGGATTCCATTAAGAAACAAGCAAAAAAGTCATCTATATCATCTATGAAGGATCAATAATTGTTTTGTTTTGTTCTTCTGCACTTGCTATCAGCAATGCTGGACACCAGAAAGTTCCAAGTTCTGGGGGTTGGGGGTGGGGAATGAATGTACACAGGTTTCTATCTCCAGCAAACCTCTTGTTTAACAATAGGGTGAAATACTGTATTCTCATAAATGCAAAATCTCTACAAATGCACATTTTACAAACTCAAGAAACAAAGGAAATAATCACAGCTATTAACCAGGAACAAGGGACTACAAATTCTTGAAGGAACAAAATGTGAAATCTAAGCAAAGATGAACTAAAATATGCAATGAAACCAAATGGCTAGGACGACATCTGTGCTGCAGTCCTAGAAAGCAATCTGTCCAAAGTAGAGAGAAAGTGTAAGAGCTCTGTAAAACAAGCCATCAGAAGTCAAGAGCAACAGCATCATTAGGAAACTGAAAGATCTTAGGAACTTCATGAAAAAGGAATATAGCCTATTTTTCAACATATAAACATAACCAATTATACACTTTAGGTAAAATGGTCAAATAAAGTGGGTTGTGATATTAGCAATCAATGGAGTATAGACACAGAATTTGTTTGACTTTTGCTTATGTGGATAAAGATTGGAATTGAAAATCTGTAATATGACTTTTGTTACTTAACTGAAAATCTGCCTGCAAGAAGAAAGAGAAACTCTAGGCCAGAGGCCAGAGATCACAATTTAGTCTTTGACAGATCAATTTCACAGTTTCTATTGCATACAAGAGAACAAGTCAAGCTTCTCATTCCCTTTTCCCAAATGTATTGACAGCACCTTCCAGAGGTACACACATGCAGATAAACTTCAGAGATGATCACATTTGAGAAGATGTTCAATATGAATCTGAAAACAAGAAGAGTCACAGTAAATGAGGCAAAATGTATAGTTCAAACAAAACTCAGTTATATATTTGCAACAAATGTCAGGTAACAGGAGAATGAGGGAGAGTTTATGATTCTGAAGATCTGTAAAGAAGTCGTGACGGTTGTTCAAGAAGGCAGAATATTAAGGATACGCTGTTGGTTAGAATGTGTGACAATTATTTTGATTATGTGGAGCTGCTTTACATTTCATCTTGAGGCTTGGACTAGTGTTTTCACAATTCAGTATGAACTTCAAAGAGTTAAAAACTAATCACTGAATTTGTCATTAAAAAATATTCCTGGCTGGGCACAGTGGCTCATGCCTATAACTCCAGTACTTTGAGAGACTGAGGCGGGTAGAAAAATCTTCTTTGCTGCTCCCTCTAGCTGAGATGTATTTAGTTCTGCTGCTTCCTCACCTCCTTTTCCTTCCATCTTGGTAATGCACCTTGCTCATTTAATTTGGAGCTCTGTTTCTTTTCTGAGTAGATGTCTATAGGGTCAAACCCCTTGCACATGAGACTTACAGCTCTAGTGTGGTCTAGAGGGGTTTGGGAGAAATTCCCCAGATTTCTCTGGGGCTGGGTGAAGCGAAGGGCAGGAGGGTAGGAAAGAAGATGACCCCACTGAGCAACAATTCTACTTCTGTTGCTGCATGGCTAGGTGAAATGGAGGAGCCTCTCAGACTGTTCCAATGGAAAGTGTGGGTGCCATTGAAGCAGTGACACCCTTGGAGATAGAGATCCATCACAAGGTCAGGAGTTCAATACCAGCCTGGCCAACATGATGAAACCCTATCTCTACTAAAAATACAAAACTTAGCTGGAGCCTGTAATCCCAGCTACTCAGGAGGCTGAGGCAGGAGAATTGCTTGAATCCAAGAGGAGGATGTTGCAGTGAGCTGAGGTCATACCACTGCACTCTAGCCTGAGTGACAGAGCAAGACTCTGTCTTGAAAATAAATACATTATTTAACTCTTTTTTCCCCTAATCTCTCCTATTCTTTATTGAACCATTTTTCTTAATGATAGAAATATTTTAGTGGTGCTTACTTTTAAGACATAGTTGTAACCTTAGTGCCTTTTCTCTACTTTGTTTATAATTGTTATGGATTATCAACTTCAGTTGACTCTTAGTTTTAATTCTCTCTTATTTCAATCCTTTCTCCCTGTTCATTGTCATGCTCCTAATCCAGGCTCCTTTTGTTTCCATCTAAATGATTGCTCTGACTTCTTACATGGACATCAAATGTGCATTCTTTCTTCCTTTTAACCCCCACACACTAAATCAGATTCAAAATTTTTAAATCCTGCCTATGTCTTTCCTCTGCTCAAAAATATTAAAAATACTCTTGTATCCACATTCCTTAGCCTGGCCCTCAAAAATTGCCACCACATGCTACAAAGCAGTATGCCAAAAGGAGGCTTGAGGATGAATCTCAGTCTCCTTAATTCCCCACCTGACACTTCAAACTGTCCAGCCAAACTAGGATCAAAGTAAAGCAAGGTATTGGCAAGGCAAACGCAGCCTCAGATGGAGGTTAGGGCTTTTGTCTTCCTTTCTTATATAAAACTCTACTAGCATCTTTAATCTGACTCTGAACCAAGGTTTTAGCTATATGTATCTATATTCCCCCACTAACACTGTACTTATATGTCAAACTGGTTTTCATTGTCTCCTGAATCATTTTGAATTTGTTGTACTCCCTGAAATACTATCTTAATTTTTTTGTTACTACCCAGAATGAAAAATTTCTCACAACGCAACTCAAATTGCATGTTTTTCCACAAAGACATTCCCTTCCCTCTCTTACCTGATGGGATTACCTCCTTCAAGAAACTATTTCTTCCTTTATAAAATGTTGCTGTTGATCATTTATTCCAGTGTCCTGCTCTGTTATTGTTACCTTAAACTGTTTAAAAAAAAAGTTTGTGTAAGGTTTTCACATGTTAATTCTTATCATTTTTATAAGATGGTACAGTTTTGAGGATAGGAACTGAGTTTTCATTCTCATTTTCCATGTCTTCAATATAGTGGGAATTTTACAATTATGTTTAATAAATGAATGGGATCATAAGTCATTGTAAGCAATTGACTTTCATACATCACTGATGATTTCACTCAGTGGTTCTAAGCTTGGGGTGATTTTCCCCCCATAGGACATTTGGCAATGTCTGGAGACAACAGCTGGCCAAGGTGGGGTGAGAGGTTATCTGTTTGCATTTACTGGGTAGAAACCAAGGATGCTATTAGCAGTGGTTTCTAAAGATGCCACCCTGAACTTACAGCTTCAGTAACATTTCTTAAGATAACGCTGTTGTGTGTCAAGAGGTGGCCAAGGGACCAGATCTTCAAAGCCACCATTCTAGCTTTAACCTGAGAAGCTCTTTAAAATTTTGCATTTGATATTGAGTTCCTTTATAGATCTTGATTTTAAAATGTCCATCATTAAACAAACAAGCCAATACAAATCATGCCACTACTGAGAACCAATAGGTTACTATATAAAGTGAACTAGGAAACGCAGAAGACTATAATGGGCAAAGAATGTATAGAAAATTATGTATTTCATCAGATTTCTTAGCTCTGTGGAACACAAGAGTTCTTTGACCAAGGAGAAAAGGAATTTTATTGGGTAACTCTTGAGTCACTAAGAAATTGAAAGAACTGATGGATGGTTCAACTTCCAAACCAATGTTCTAAACACACCAAAAAACATTCTGAAAGAGAAATAGCTGCTCTATTCCCTAAACATTGGGTGCTAGTTTGCCCTGCTACCTCATCTGCTGTGGGAACTCAATGCCAGTGCACCTGCATATGCATTCCAAGATAGTTTTTTTTTTTGCTCCAGGAGCCTGATGATCTCTCTGGGAGACAGAGAAGGAAAGAGAGAGAGAGAGAGAGAGAGAGAGAGAGAGAGAGAGAGAGAGAGAGAGAGAGAGAGATTGAGAGATTGAGAAAGAGAATAGAGTGCCTTCCACCTGGTCTTTAGCTCTTTAATCATAGTTTGGTGTGTTACATCTGCTTGAAGGATCTAAAGCTACATACCTGCATCCCAAGTGAAGGCAGGGAAAACAGGTGTCTGGCATTTTCAGTACTTAGAAGAGAAACATTTTCTGTCTTTTCCTCAGGCAGTAAAAGGCAGATGGACTCTTCAAACACACAGAAAAAGGTCCATACATTGGGCAGCCTTGCAAAGTGATCACTAAGGAGTATTTTTAAATTCAAAGAAATCACTGTCCACTTTTAACATAAAATTGATTCAAAAAAGGCATAGCTAATTATAATATATTCCTTTTAGATAAGAACTGTAATATTTGATAAATTATATGGTAATACAGAACTAGCTTCTAAAAAAGGTAGTGAAAGTATAATGATAGCATATCTACTCCATTTATGAATTAATATAAATGAATCATTCAGGGTTTCCTCTTTATATTTACTTTTTTCTTTCTTATGGTAAGTTAACCATATGCATTCACATAGCACTGAGTTTTCTTAAATGCGTGTTTTCAGATATAAAAATGTGTTATTGAATTCAGCCTTTTACAACAATGACCTATTCTTAAGGCTGTGAAAGGTAGAGACTATAAAATTGCTTGCAATTTCCAGTGTTATTACATGTAGTAATATTTCTATGCCTAGTCTTAAGTGTATGAGAGAAAAAAAATCAAATCACTTTCTTTGTTTTAAGGTTGTATGGTTGAATAGATCTCGAAAGCATTGAATCTAATAAAGTTTATGAGAATATAAAGGCTGAAGGATACATCTGTGAGGTGGTATGCTTTCAGAGACGTGGCAGTTTTTATAGACTAAAGGAAAGTACCCTATATCTTAAGTGATTCTAAGAATACTTTTCCCCAGAGATTGTTAATTTTCTGAAATAGATGAAATTTCCTTTAGTGTTCGCCATTACCAGTGGCAGCTTGAAGAGCAATTCACATTTAAATAGCTGTTTCATAGCATCTCATCCTTTGCCAGCTGCATGATCCTGCAAGACTAATGTGCACCCAGGAAAGAAATTGGAATCATAACATCACAACGCTAATGCACTTTGAATACCATGCCTCTGATATTTTTATTGAGATGTCGTCAGTTCTTACATGAGTTAGCTAAAAATATAACAGGCAATGGTAGAGAATAAAAACTGCTTCTATCAAAATTTTGGACTAGTGTATGATTTCTCTAAGATGTATTATTTTTTCAATTTTTGGTTAAACCCACATTTCATTCTTCAGAATACAGTAAATACCAAAGTCAATGCTAACTTGCATTAAACACATAACATATATTTTAGATGACTTTCACCTCAGTATGTTAGAAGCATAAGACTTTGTTTTCAACTTATAGTTTCTCTGTTACTGTCCTAGATATTTTACAAGGATAACTGCATGTAGCACTTACAATATATCCTAAATGCAATATTTTGGAAAGCACAACTATAATTTATAAATGGAATTTTATTGATTGATTGAACCATACAAGATTGGCTTTATAGGTAAAATGTGTAGATATTGAAAATTTCATGTAGTTGAACCTACAGAAATTGAGTTTGTTTCAATATTACTTTACCGTCTAGATCATTTTTTGCCCTTCCACTTTCCTGAAATTCAATGAAGTTTTGAAACCTGGGGCGAATATACTAAATATTTGAAATTATGCCTTAAAAAAATTAGTGAGTTTCTTTACAAGTTGTCTTGATAATACTTACAAAAGTTAATTAAAGTTTAATTTAAAAAAAATCCCTTTTGGTTAAATACAATTTAGCTTAATTTGAGTGGTCTAAAACTCAGACCTTAAAATAATTAAATGAATTTTGTATATTTTCATGTAGATAAATACATTAGTATTATATATATATTTAATACATAGTATATCTCCACAGATGCATATTTGTGTGTATACATATACCTATATATACTCAGATATATATATATGGTGTGTGTATACATATGTATGTATGCATGAAAAACATTTACATAATAGGTTTGTAATATTTTTGTTGAACCTGACTTGCTATTTTTTACTATAAACACATACATTCCTGAATGTAGTCTTATTAACAATAATAGAAACATAGTCAGATTCTATAGCTTTCCAGTTTGTTTCTGCACAATTTCAGTCTTTGCCGCCATGCCCCCCACATTCATTGAAAAGTTTTTCCCTTCCCTGATTCAGTAGGAAAGGTGGCAGATGCTGTTCATTGACTGGTGCTTCTGTCTCCAACTCTGCTGCTTTGGGGTCTTTAAGAGTACTTGCAGAGGTACCACTGGTTTCAATGGAACAAAACACAATTAGTTTTGCACCAGCCTTATGTATTGGTCTGGGCTATGAAGTGCACATTGTGGGGTCCAGTTTTGTTTCCTTTAGTAAGCACTTCAGCTGGTATCTGTTAGCTCCTTACCATGCTCATTAGATTGTGGAGATTCTGATGATTACTGCTTAAGATTAGCTGAAATTCTAAAAATTGGAATTCCAATGTATATTCTGTTACATAAATTATTTCTCCCAATATGTTGATAATTTAGCAGTTTTAAGTGGAGCTGCCTGTAAGTTCTCTCAGTGAATACTCATTAAGTGGTTGTGTGCAAGACACTGTAAGTGGTATGCACCTTTTAGATGAATTCTAAGAATGAGTTTGTCCATTCCCATGGCTTCACCTACCGCAATGAGAGTGATGCTTCTTACATATGTGTATTTAAGATGAATGTCCCTCTTGAACTTCAAATCCTCCTACCAAATGCTTTTGGGCTATTCCACTTGAGATTCTGGAAAGGAAGAAAAGAGTTCACAGTGGGTCTGTAACACTTTCCTTTCATCTCTAGATACAAGAAGTAGTGATGATATTGACTATTTGCCCTTGTAGAAATGTTTATTTTCAACATTACTTATTTTTAAAACACTTAAAACATGTGAGATGACTAATTCATCAATGGAAGTTACTTATGCAGCATTTTCACTCCTGAATGACTAACCAAAGCCAAACAAAATGTTATAAAAGAAATTGTGTCCCCACCACCTGCAAATTTATATGTTGAAGGCATAACCTCTGCTGTGAGTGTGTTTAGAGATAAGGCCTTTAAAGCAGAGGTTAAGGTTAAATGAAGTTGTCTATATTGAGGCCCTGATCAAATATGACTGGTGTTTTTATAAGAAGAGGGAGAAACACCAGGATTGTGCGTATACAGAAGAAAGGCCACGTGAAGATACAGTAAGAAGGCAGTCAACTACAAGCTAAGCAGAGAGGCCTCAGGAGAAGCCAAACCTTCTGATACCTTGATCTTGAACTTCCAGACTCTATAAATGTGAGAAAATAAACTTCTGTTGTTTAAGCCTCCAGTCTGTGGCGTTTTGTTATGGCAGCCCTAGAAAACTAATGACTAAGAAACCCTGAACCCAAGCAGTGTTCTCTGGACAAGTATGTATCTCATGGACATACTGTCAGTGCTCTCCTGTTATTCTAATACGAATATATGCCCATGAAAGACAATGGCATTAAGGACCTGCCTCTCACAGGCCCTGGGCTCCTTCAAAGATGAATATTGCATTTGCGCCTGGGTTTTGCTTATACCCACTGTAAATCATTAGCAAAATTTAGTGTTTGAGAACGTCTATGATTCCTAGGAATCTGCCTTAACAAGTCGACCCTTTGTTGTATTTCAAGATGTCCTAGAAGTATGTACAAGTTAACATATTTTAAAGCTACCATCATTTCAGACCTGCAAACATACATCTCAATAAATAGATCCTGTGTTGGTTTCAGGGGCTGCTCTAACAAAGTGGGCATCTGGGCTGTAGTAAACTGGGTGGCTTAAACAACAGAAATTTGTTGTTATAGTCCTGGGGCCTAGAAGTACTAAATTAAGCTCTAAACAGAGTGTTAGTCTCTAAAGACTCAAGTGTAAAATCAGTTCCATACCATTCTCTCAGCTTCTAGTGCTGCTGGCAACCCTTGGTCATCTTTGACTTGTAGATACATCACTACAATTTCTACCTAGATTGTCACATAGTCCAATCTTTGTCTTTTCTCCTAAGAACACCAGTCATCAGAGATTAAGCACCCAGTCTACTCCAGCATAACCTCATGTTAATTTGACTCTACCTTTCTCAGGTATGGTCCCTACTTTCAAATGAGGGAAACATTTCATAGGCCGCCTTACATTCACAGGTACCAGGGATTCGAATTTGAACCTATTTTTGGTGGAGGACACAGTTCAATACAACCCTCAAATCCTGTCACTTCTGTTTCTTAATTTTTCTTTAAAGAAGAAGGGGAACATAAAGAATAAATTATCCATCAATTTACTCCCTTATACAACAAATATTTATTCTGCATCTAGTTTGTGTTGGGCACTGTTTAAGATCCTAACGAGAAACCTATGATCAATACAGATCAGGCCTTTGGTCTTTCCAAGCTAATGTCCTAACTGTAACATCTACGATGAACACACAGACGGGAAATTTTTGATAGCAGTAAGTGCTGTGAAAATATGGATCAGATAATAGGATATAGAAGTACTTCATAGGCAGGAGTTAAGGTGAGGATGTTCTTGTTTAGATAAGGAAAGTGGGGAAGTCTTCATTGACAAAGAAACATTGAAGCTAATCTTAATGGAGAACATTCTGGTGAAGGACCATTCTAGGTAAAAGGAAGAGGAGATTAAAAGTCTTAAAAACTAAATACATGTTGGGTAAGGTATAAAAGGAAATCTCCTGTAACTAAAGCTTAGTGGCCACATGGTGTAAGACAGGTAGAAGTGTTCACATCACGTATGCCGTAACAACAAGACTAGATTTTACTCTAATTGCATTGGGGCACTAAAAGGTTGTTTTAAGCTAAGACTGGTATTTAATTTATGTTTTAGAAAACTGTTCCTCCCTGCAAGCACTCCCTGCAAGCAAGGTGCATGGAAAGCGTGTGAAGGAATGCAGGCAGCTTCTAGGAGCAGGATCTTCTAGGTGAAGAATGAAATCTAGGAAGGTAAGCATGAAAACAGAAATTAGTTTAGAGATTATTTAATCAGTCTAGTAACAGATAATGGTTCAGAATAGAGTTGAGTTGTAAAAGTGGAGATAGTGTCAAGTGACTGGCTTTGTGACAGATTTATCAATTATCTGCTATGTGCCCAGAACATTACATTTGTGGCAGGCTAAATAATGAACATCCAAAGATATCCACGACCTAATGCCTAGATGCCCACACTCTAATGCCTGGAGCCTATGACTAAGTCATGTAACATGGCAAATGGGACTTTGTAGATGTAATTAAATCATAGTGGGTAAAATAAGGAGGCTATCAGGTGTTATCTTTTTGGGCACAATCCAATTACATGAGTCCTTAAAAGCGGTAAACTTTCTCTGGCAATAATAAAAAAAAGTTGAGATGAAAAAAGTTGTAGACAGTCAAAATGTTAGAGTGACTTGGCTTGCCGTTGCTAGAGGAAGGGTGCGTGGAAAGTGTGGAAAGCAATGCAGGCAGCTTCTAGGAGCAAAGCATGGCCCCCAAGTGATGGTTAGCAAGGAAACAGGGGCTTCATTACTACAACTGCAGTGAATTAAATTTTGCCAATAGCCTGAGTGAGCTTGGAAGTAGAGTCAGCCCTAGAACCTCCAGAAACAAATTCCATCACCTTGATTTTGGCCTTGTAAGACTAGCCAAGGACCCACCTTGGCTACAGTCTACCCAGATGTCTGACTTACCTGATGCCTGACTTACTGTAGTCTATCCAGATGCCAATCTACCTAGATGTCTATGAGATAATAAAGCAGCGTTGTTTTATGCCACTGAATTCGTAGTAAATTGCTACAGCAACAATAGAAAACTAAAGCCATATTTGTATTTCCCATTCTACATGCAATCCATCCAAGCAGTTGGTTCTTAGTTCCCATTGTGTCATAAATCTTGGGTAATGCTTTATTTTAGACTTTAATTATTACCACGATTGAACACTGAAATGCCTAAGTTCAATCTAACCTTATATTCTATCATCCACGTTCAATTAGAATGATTATTATAAAATGCACATCCGATCAGTACATTTCTTCTTTATTTGCTTGAATAAATCCTTTCTGCCAATGTGACCAATTTAGGCACACCTTCCTTCAAAGCAGATTGGGTCTCCCTTCTCAATGCTTCCCAAGCTTCCTATTTAACATGCCATCTCATCTCCAATTCCTCTATGGGTCACTTTCCCTTTTAAAAATTATGTACAATATTTTTAATTGGAAAAATAATACATATAACAATTAAAATAATTCAGGTCATAAAAAGGTACCAAAAGTTTCTTACATCTTTTCTATCCTCATCTAACCTCATATCTAAAAGAAATAACTTTTAATAGTTATTCTTTTATATATTTTCTCTGTACATGTAAACTGCAGGGTGATATCTACAATTTACATTGTATGTATAAATTGCAGGGTGATAAATTACAGAGTGATATATATATTATATTCTATGTATAAATTGCAGGGTGATATATATATATATATATATATATATATATATATATATGCATCAGGTAAGTCAGACATCTGGGTAGACTATAGCCAAGGTGGGTCCTTGACTAGTATATATTATATACATACATCCTTGTATACTCTTCATAAGAATCTAGAACATTAATTTGGCTTGTAATCTTATTTTTACTAATTTTTACATCAGTCATAGGCTCATTTATAAATGTCCACAAGTTACTTTATTGGTTAAATGTATTTTATTTTATTGAATTATATCTATTTTTAAGAATTTTAGTATTCCAGATTTTTCTTTAATTAACATGCATATACTTATATGTGTTTGAGCACTTGTGAAAATATATTTATAAAATAAATATTTAAAGTAGTAATCAAGAAATATGTCATATTAAATTGCCAAATTGCCTTCCAAAAACACTATGCCAATTAAAATTCTCATCAACTTTGTGTGAGAACTCCTGTTTCTTCACAACCTCAGAAATATGTGAATCTGGCATTGCTTCATTAGGCAGCAATAGAAAGCTGGAAGAGCAATAGAGATCATCTCTCTATGAGGTACTGTGGTAGGAATTCCAAACAGATGAAGTAGTGGCAATGGGGAGAGAAACATTCCATAATGATAAAAGAAGAAAGTTTTGGGCCGGGCGTGGTGGCTCACGCCTGTAATCTCAGCACTTTGGGAGGCCGAGGCAGGTGGATCACGAGGTGAAGAGATGGAGAGCATCCTGGTCAACATGGTGAAACCCCATCTTAACTAAAAATACAAAAAAAAATTTTAGCTGAGCATGGTGGCATGTGCCTGTAATCCCAGCTACTCAGGGGGCTGAGGCAGGAGAATTGCCTGAACCCAGGAGGCAGAGGTTGTGGTGAGCCGAGATCGCACCATTGCATTCCAGCCTGGATAACAAGAGCGAAACTCCGTCTCAAAAAAAAAAAAAAAAAGAAAGTTTTATAGACTTCATGGGATGCACATGTCTTCAAATTCAGAGAAAGATGATGGGTAAACAACAACAGTTTGAGGCACATTAATTGGAAATGTATTGCCTTATAGATAGAAGATAAAAAGATTTCATGTAGAATGATAGAAAATAAATTATCCATCTGCCTCCTGAAAGAATCAGTTTTAGCTAGATTTGTTTTAAAAAGTTTGTGGAATAGACTCCTTTCAATATCACTTTCATCCTATACTTCAACAAGTCAAAATATTAGTCAATGCTGAGAGGGGATCATGGATGTTTTAAGATTCAGAACATTTTTTAGCATATGCTTTTAGGAAATTCCTTATGAAAGTGCTCCAGTAATATGGAGTCAAAGTCAGAGGTGGTGGTGGCTCCAGTCCAGGAGAACAGAGAACAAGGGTCCAAGGATGAAGCTGGGCCATTGGTCTGTAGAGGCTTAAGTCCGGTTTAGAATAGTAAGGCAGACTCAGGAATGAAAGTCAGATATTACAATAGATAATAATAAGTTTATAATATAATTAAGACCAATTGCATGAACAAAAGATATGTCACTGGGTCCTCCAGATGACAAAAACAAAGGGAAAACAAACAAACAAAAAAACAACACATTTCCCCAACATAAGAAACAATTTACTCAAGATTGGATACCGGTGAGCCTTATATCAGTCACATTGGATTCACAGTAAGAGACAAAAAAGAACAGGAAGATATTCATTATAAAATTTAAAAGATTCCTTACACCTTATACAAAAATTAACTCCAGATGGATTAAAAATTTAAACATAAGACCTAACACCATAAAGACCCTAGAAGAAAACATAGGCAATACCATTTAGGACATAGGCGTAGGCAAGGACTTCATGACTAAAACACCAGAAGCAATGGCAACAAAAGCAAAAGTAGACAAACGGGATCTAATTAAACTTAAGAGCTTCTGCACAGCACAATCATTAGAGTGAACCGGCAACCAACAAAATGGGAAAAAATTTTTGCAACCTACCCATCTGACAAAGGGCTAATATCCAGAATTTATGTAGAACTAAAATTTAAAAGAAAAAAATAACCCCATCAAAAAGTGGGTGAAGGATACGAACAGGCACTTTTCAAAAGAAGACATTTATGGGGCCAAGAAACATGAAAAAATGCTCATCATCACTGGTCATTAGAGAAATGCAAACCAAAACCACACTGAGATACCATCTCATGCCAGTTAGAATGGTGATCATTAAAAAATCTGGAGACAACAAATGCTGGAGAGGATGTGGAGAAATAGGAACACTTTTACACTGTTGGTGGGAGTGAAAATTAGTTTAACCATTGTGGAAGACAGGATCTAGAAACAGAAATACCATTTGACACAGCAATCCCATTACTGGGTATATTCCCAAAGGATTATAAATTGTTCTACTATAAAGACACATGCACACATATGTTCACTGCGGCACTGTTTAGAATAGCAAAGACTTGTAACAAACCCAAATGCCCATCAAGGATAGACTGGATAAAGAAAATGTGGCAGATATACACCATAGAATACTATGCAGTAACTCATCCAAAAAACGATGAGTTCATGTCCTTTGCAGGAACGTGGACGAATCTGGAAACTATCATTCTCAGCAAACTGACACAAGAACAGGAAACCAAACACTACGTGTTCTCACTCATATGTGGGTGTTGAACAATGAGAACACATGGACACAGGGAGGGAACATCACACCCTGGGGTCTGTTAGGGGTTGGGCTAGAGGAGCGATAGCAGGGCGTACGGAGGTTGGGGAGGGATATCATTAGGAGAAATACCTATGTAGGTAAAGGGGGATGGAGGCAGCAAACCACCATGGCATGTGTATACCTATGTAACTTCCTGCTAGATCTGCACATGTACCATAGAACTTAAAGTATAATTTTTTAAAAAGCTGCACAAGATTAAAATCTTGGAAGTAAAGAGAATATGTAATTATGATGTTATAATTAATATTACTATAATAATTAGTTTAATAATTATAATTAGATACACTTAAAATAATTTATTTATATTGTTCTACTGGTTCTAAACTTTTACATACAACCAAAGAAAACAGAGTGTGAGGGAACTATGTGACAGAAAACAATATCAACAATGGCAACATAAATGGAAATTTATTTCTAATAGGAGTTGGGAGTGACTAAACAGGCAGGGAGAAAGAAGGGTTACAGAGCTGATTTGCTCATCTACACCATCATCAAGGGGAGAGTCAGAGAATACTGTCTTCAGTTAATGGAGTCAAAATTAGAAGCCTATGCATATTATTTAAAATTATGGTGGTAACTGGTAGATTAACAATGGAATAATTGGGAGGTAGAGTATTTTGAGAGTGACAGAAGTAAGATTGATCCTTCCTGTTTTTTTTTTTTTTTTTTTGAAACAGAGTCTCACTTTGTCTCCAGGTGCCAGGCTGGAGTGCAGTGGCACAATCTCTGCTCACTGCAACCTCCGCCTCCTGGGTTCAAGCAATTCTCCTGCCTCAGCCTCTCAAGTAGCTGGGACTACAGGCACATGTCACCATGCCCAGCTAATTTTTGTATTTTTAGTAGAGACGAGGGTTCATCATGTTGGTCAGGATGGTCTCGAACTCTTGACCTCGTGATCTGCCCGCCTCGGCCTCCCAAAGTGCTGGGATTACAGGCTTGAGCCACTGCACCCGTCCAATCCTTCTTATCTTTAACAGCAGGAAGTTAATAGGTTTTACAGGTCGAACATTCCTAATCTAAAATCTGGTCACAAATGCTTCAAAATCTTAAACTATTTGAGCGCCAACATGATACCACAAGTGAAAAATTTCACAATGGACCTTGTGTGAGGTGTTACAGTCAAAGTGTACACACATAACACAATTTATTCAGTGTCACCAAAGGAAAAATAAATTATCTTCAGGTGATGTGTGTAAGAGGTATATGAAATTTAGATGAATTTCTTATTCAGATTTGAATCCCATCTCCCAGATATCTCATATATAATGAATAAAAAACCTACTCTAATATAATGAATGAAAAACCTCATAGGATTAAATTGTCCATCACAGATTATTTTTATATTTATGTCTCTAAGAACTACCTGTTTACTTTAGTAATTAAAAAAGTAGAATTTCAAAAGTATGAGTTGTTCAATAGCACAATTTTTGGTCAAGATTTAAAAAAATAGTAAGATTGTTGAAATAATATTTAAAATACACACTCACATAAGAATATTATACTATATTATTAAAATCAACCTGAGAATGGTAACACTGAAATCACAGAATTAAAATGACAGGTGATAAAATATTACAAGCTGAGCGTTTGCATATACATAATGAGATTTCTTGGAGATGGGACCGAAGTTCAGTGAGAGGTAAAAAAGGGAAAATATATTTTTATTGTATAGCCATTAAAATAAATGAGAAATCAAAACTACCTAAAAAACATCAATGTGAGCAGGCTGCTTCCTTCAGAGCATCAGGGCATTCCTATCTCGTCTCTATCTCCCTGTGTCCTCACCCCTCCTGTCTGTACTAAACTGACCTCTCTCTGATCATGCCAGCAGTTGTGGTAGCAGAAACATTCACAACTAATGTCTTCACGCTAAAGAAGTGTGTTATTTGGTTTTTGACTGTGTATGCCTTCAGCTAGAAGGTGGCCTTAAGGGAACACATGTGGATAGATGAGGAAAGAAAGGAGATACCTTTGACTGGCCAAAGCATTTGAGCGAACACTGACAGTCAATACAGCAGCAGATGCCACCACCAGCTTGTCTTGACACATAATTCCCAGCTCTGGAACAATTTCATTGACTTTACCGTGGAGGGCTCTTTTATGATTTCTCCAGTGTCTTTGACTTTTGTTACAGGCCAGAAGCAAGATCTGATAAAATGAAAGAGGCAGAAGTGTTGTATTTCACAAAAGATGTCCTTATGTTTTGCAAATTGCAAAATGAAAAAACGAGTGAGTTATTTTAATGAGCTTCATGGCCCCTTTCCTCTCACCGTGTGTGGGTGTATATATGCAATTATATATACACAAAGAAAAAGAAATCTGAAGAGGATCTTGACTATAAAATTAAGGAATATAGAGATGAAGATTCCCTTTTATTACCATCCTTGATATTAACTTATAATTCAACTGCAAATTGAAAACCTCCCTACTCAAGTCAACTTTATGTATTTGTTAAATTAAAATAGGAGTTACCTGCTTGGTTTTCAAGACTTACAGATATATTTAAATTGTATTTATAGATAAAAATTTTATTCCTTTTTGAGACATTTTATGAACTTATCAACTTGAAAAACATGGATTATAATTGCCAGTACTGTATTTACCATTATTTTATTATATATTTTTTCCTGTCTCACCTACTAAAATGTCAGCTTCATCAGCCAAAAATCCTTGCCTCCTCTTCCTCACTTTTGTATCATCAGTGCCCAGTGGATTAGGGAAAATCTGGTAAATAAATGCCTGCTGAATAAACGATATATAATATAGTTCAGATATAGCATAACAGCTTAACTCATATAAAGCAGTTCGGATTTCCTTAGAATTAGTTGAGACACCTCTCCACTGGATACATTCCATGGAGTATGGCATTCAGATTATAATATAGTAGCTCAGGTACCATTTATTCAGCATACTTGAGAATCTCCTTTATTTTTACAGATCAATGATTTTCAAGTATTTCTTTCTGTCAATTATTCTTTCGACTAAATTTCATTACAAATTCCAACCTAATAAGGAGAAAAAACACAGAATTATTTTTGGTAAAGTGAGATTTGTATGTGTTAGATTGAGCACATTTATTCTTTACCTATTCCTACATAACAATCCCTGAAGGATCTTTAGAGTAATGAGACATCCAAAGCATGAAGTTTAAAAACCATGTTTGAGGGACTAACTTTTTCCTTGTGAAGCCTGTGCTTTCTGTCATTAAATTATTAATTTATTGACAAGTAACATAAAATATGAATTAATTTACATATAGTAGATATAAAATAATTAGTGTTAAAACATCAGGTTAACATTAAATGTCCTAAGAATTCTCCAATTATTTTATGTCCTCCATATGTTATTATTTTAAATAAATGCCTAAAATAGTTTTTAATAAAATGTATATTTGACATTCTACTTCCTGTAGCAATGAGCTAGTTTAATGGGATCCAATTATCTTGTTTTATAAATGCTCAAAATGTTTTCTTTAATTTTTTAATGGGAGTGAAGTGCTTAGAAATAGTAGAGAACAATTGTGCCAGGTTTGTAGAAAATTATGAACTCAGAAAGGTAACAAAATATGTGAGCACATCGCAGCTGAATTTGTCTTGAGATCATTTTTGAATACCTCACAATTGAGTTTCAGTTAGGAAAAGCAGAAACTAATCAAGGCCCAGAACTATCAAGGTAAGGAGTCTTAGAAGAGATTCTTCCCACGTTTACTTGAGAATCAGAGGCTATTCAGACCAAGCATGAACAGGAAGTAAACCCTCCTCTCCTCTCTTCCTCCAAACTCATGGCCTGGGGAGAAGGGTAATAAAAGAATTCACATAAATGAAAAATAAACCATGTTTACAGAATAGAAAATGGGATATTTGCATTATCTCAGTTTTCTCCAAATATCTGTATACATTTAAAATCAAAATTTCAAATGTGTTTTTGAGTGTGTGTGTCTGTGTGTGTGTATCATCTTGCATAATGTAACAAACTTTGTCTATAATCTATATGGAAATGTGAAGCACCAAATATTGTCACAACAGTCTTGCCTGGAGAAGTAAAAGCTGGAAGAACTTGTTTTAACAGATCAAAACGTATTATAAACAATAGTAATAAAGCTAGTTTAAAATTGATTCATGGGCACAGACCAATAGATGAGAATCAAATACAGAAACAATATATTCAATAATTGAGATTTGATTTATGGTAAATATGTCACTGTAGAGTAATATGAAAAACACAATTGCTGTTGTTACTTTTTATTAAATCATGCTGGGAACATTGGGTATCTGATTAAAATAAAATTTTACATTAATTAAAGATTTAAATGTAATAAAGAAATTGAAATAATCTGGGAGAAGTTCTTTGAGCCCTTAAGATAAGGAAGTGTCTTAAACTAGCTATAAAACAGTCCTAACCATAAGGGAAAATATTGATAAGATTTACTACTTTAAAATGAGCAATTCACGTTCATTAAAAAACTTAAGAGTGAAAGGTTAAGACATGAGTTAAGAGCACTACAGGTTAGAAAAGCAACCTCCTTGAGTGCTATAGCCTCATAAGAGTACAGCTCCATGAATGAAGCATAAGATGAGATTCATCCCTCACTCACCAACTTGGTTGAGTGCCCTGGTTCTTGGCAATAACACATGCCGCTCTATGTGATGACCCTTCATATTGTGAGAGACAGTAGTTCCAATACAAATAACCAATAAAGAACTGGTATCTAGGCAATGGAAATAACTCCAAATGTCATTAAGGGAAACAGAAAATTCAATAGAAAAAAATTAGTGAAAATATTGAATAGGCAAATAAAAGAGCAAAGGTTATGTACATATATAAACTTATTACTAATTAGAGCAATTAAAAAGATAACCACAGTGTGTTGGTTAATACTGCCAACTCGATTGGATTGAAAGATGCAAAGTATTGTATTGTGAGGGTGAGTCAGTGGGCTGGGAAAGGCAGACCCACCCTTAATCTGGGTGGGTACCACCTAATCAGTTGCCAGCATGCCTAGAATATAAAGCAGGCAGAAAAATGTAAAAACAGAAGGCTGGTCTAGCCTCCCAGCCTACATCTTTCTCTCATGCTGGGCGCTTCCTGCTCTCCAACATTAGACTCCAAGTCCTTCCGTTTTGGGACTTGGACTGGCTTTCCTTCTCCTCAGCTTGTAGATGGCTTTCTGTGGGACCTTGTGATCATGTGTTAATACTCCTGAATAAACTCCTCTTTATATGTGTTATCTATCCTATTAGTTCTGTCCCTCTAGAGAACCCTGACTAATAAACGCAGTGAAATATATCTTGCAATGTAAAGTATCTGAAAGGCTATGGAACAATGGAAACTCATATATTACTGATAGGAATGAAAATGGTGCAAGAGTGTTGGTAAATAATTTATGCATACCTCACTGATAGAGCAGTTTCAATTTAGGTATGGAGTAAGAAAAGGATTTCTGCACATATGAAGACATATGTACAAGAATGTTCATGGTAGTATTATTCGCAATAGCTATACTCTCGAAATAAAGCCAATATCCACCAACAGTAGAATGGATGAGGAAATAATGATACATTTCATTCAAAATTATAGTACATTAATGCAAATGGACATATCACAGCATGTATAATAACATAGGTAAAATGTAAAAGTCAATCAGTGAAAACAACATGCACACATACACATTCATACATCATTTAAAGCCAGAGATACATTCTGAGAAATGCATCTTTAGATACATTTATCAGTTTGAACATGACAGAGTGTACTTACACAAACCTAGATGGCATAGCCAATTATACACCTAAGCTATAGGTACCCCAGGCTACAAATATGTACAGTATATTACTGTACCAAATGCTGCAGGCAATTGTAATAAAATATTATTTGTATATATAAACATAGAAAATGCATAGAAAAAATACATACAGTATGATAATCTTATGGGACCACCATTGTATGTGATCCATTGTTGACTGAACTTCGTCGTGTGACACAAGACTATGTTTCGTGATTTCAATGATAGAAAGTCAATCGAGAGTTAAAACTAAAATATATTATTTAGAAATATATACTAAGGTGTTAAACTGAAAAATATCCAATAAATGAATGAAATAAAACTCAGGGAATCGGTGAGGGAGATATGGTTGAGAAATGTCCAGAATGCCAGTTACATTCTACTTTCTTTATTTCTCTAATATTTGCTTTATATCTGTTGTCTATTTTTTTTTTGCCTTATATGTGCTTTGTAGTTTCTTTGTTTGTATGTTCTTTCTCAGTGAATGTTTAAAAATTTTTAAATACAGTTACTTTAATTGTATAATACGTAATTTACTAATTTATTGAGTGAGGGTATATTAGTTTCCTAGAGCTGTCATAAGAAAACTACAAACTGGGTGGCTTAAAATGATAGAAATTTATTCTCCCACGTATCTGGAGGCTAGAAATCTAAAATAGGTGGCAGGAGGCCCATGCTCTTCCTGAGGGCTCTTAGAGAAGATGCTTTCCTCGCTCCTCCCTCGCTTCTGTTGCGGGTCAGCACTCTTCAGCCTTCCTCGGTTTGCGACGGCATCACTCGGATCTCTCCCTCTGTCTTTGCATGGCCACCTCCCCTCTCTATCTGTGTTTCTGTGTCCAAATTTTCCTCCTATAAGGACAGCAGTCATATAGGATTTAAGCCCCTCTTTAATTAGGTATAACCTCAGATTAATTTATTATATCCATGTAATCCCTGTTTCTTAGTAAATTCATTTTCTGAGTTCCTGGGGGACACAAAGGGGACAATATTCAACCCAGTACAGGGATATAATGTTAATACATTCATGGGGTGTACTTATGGCTTCACAATAGCAATATGAAGTTTCATTTGCATATCCACCGCTAAGTCATGGAGTAGCAGAACCTAACGAAAGTGTTGAGATCTATCCAACCTAAGGGAAAATTCACATTCTGGAAGCTAGGGAAAGGAAACATTAACTGTGTATTTGAGGATGGAATTTATGGAAATTGTGTCAGATTCTCTATGGAAACTGTGACAGGAATTTTTTTATTAAGAATTAGAATCAGAATTATGTTTATCTTTGCATTATTTTAATCTAGAACAGAGGAGTCCCTTGTTCTGTTAACCAATGATCCCTTCGGAAAAGAATCACCCTAATCT